GAATTGGGCAAAAAAAAAAAAAAAAAAAAGAGTGACAACAGACGAATGAAACTCATGGTGAGTGACATCATTTTTTCAGGCATCCTTTGTCTCTGCTTGCTCCAATTGATATTCATTGTCGACATCTTCATCGTCTTCGTCCTCATCAGTGTCTTCATCATCATATAAGTTGCTTTTGAACCTGTTAAGCTCATTTTTAGAATCATCTTCACTCAAAAATTCCAGTCCATATTTGATGTCACGGTGTTTAACTAAGAGCCAGCGAAGCAATCGGTCTTCCTTGTTTAGGTAATGCAGTTCCTTGTTCATACTGGGGGGTGTCATCATCGTCATTTGCATCAGTTGGCCCTAAATGATATTTATAGAATCAGTCGATAAAGGTATGAACTGGTAACCTTAAGCATCAATTTATAAAGCAGGGAAATTATACAAAACTCGTCTGTCATTGAATCCAAAATCCAGTTTCTAACTCAAAACGCCGGAAACAAAAAAGAGAAAGGGAGCAGATAATATAGAAGAAAGGTAAAACCCTACCCTCCAACATACTGAAGCAATGTTTTGAGAATATGCAAAATGAAAACAAAAACAAAATACATGAGGAAAAAAAAGTGCAATATATCAACTAAAGACATTCTATTAGTATTATATATAGATGTCCAATCTTCCGATGAAGTAACCTGGCTTTGGCATATTTAAAGGAGAGCAATATTTTTTCTCTCTCTCATAGGAAGTAAAAATAAAAATTAATAATGTGGATAGATAATTTTATGTGTGTTCATTTTAATATTTTTAAAATTTTTTGTGTAAAATCATTAATAGCTTGAACCATTTTTATTTTTATTCTTTTAGAAATTTCTATAATTTTATCTTTCAGAATTTTTATTTTTTACTTTTTAGAATTTTATATTCTATTTTTTCAATTTTTATTTTATTTTTTCCAAATTTCCAAATTTTATTTGTTAGAATTTATTTTATTTTATTTTTTTATTTTTTCAAAGTTCATTCAAATAGAATTTTATTTAGACACTTGTTTTCCATGTTATGAGTATTTTCTAATTTTCACTAAAAACACTCAAAAGATCATAAATGTATTTTGAGTTTTATATTAAGATTTTGTTACATGTACATTAAACTTTACATAATACATTTACATAATGCCACAAGTCACTCAATCATTTATCAGTTTAAAATTCGATCAATTTTTTTATCAATCTTTTCTCCTCACATCATTTTATGTAATTTCTTATGTACCATTTTTATGTACAAGTTGCATAATCCTTTATATTATGAGTTTAACCAAGTTTTTGAAAATGCATTTTCAGAGATAACAGACCCAACATGATTTTAGTATTTTGAAAAATAAAAAATTGAAAACAACAAACCAAAGGCACCTTTAGTAATTGTTTTTTTAATCCTCGAAGAATCACCACACCCCTAGAAATATGGATTACCAAAACATTTAGTAGTTCCTTTCCCAATCCTTGAAAAATTACTCCCAGAAAAACGCTGATGGAGATAATTGAAAGATCTACAGTCAATATCTTAAGAGAACTTCAGTTTCAACTGATAATCCAAGTTTAACTGTAGTTTTTCCTCACTACTCATCCTCAACATATATATGCATACTGCTTTGTACCTTGTACTTCAGATGGGTTTTCTCTAGGAGATAGGTCGAAGGGGATGCGAGAAATGATATGGATACTTCACAAGATTCAAAAAGAATTCACCTCTGCCATATTAAAAATAACCACTGAAGGACTTCTGCAATTTATTTTAATTAAAACTGAATGTCAAAGTATTTTACATGCAACGCCGGATCGCCCAACCTTCTTAATAGATAAAAAGACTGTAATGGAAGATACAGCTAAATTTCAGACAATTTGAAATGTCACAATTTGCAAATATGTAAAACATGGATACAAGGATATAAAGTAGTAAAAACAACAAAAGTCTTTAACACTTTACTAATCAACTAAAAGGCAGCATATAACAAAATTTAGTATAAGAAATTAATGTGCAGTGATGATGCTAAAACTGTTTACCTGATAATATTTTCCATCAAGCTTCTTGATGCCATAACCCAATTGAACAGTCCCAAAGGACTTCATATCAGTGACCACTCCATTTTTCCTAAAAACATGCTTCCCAACCCGGGAAACTAGTTCCATTAAGGACTCCTTCTTGACATGGGGCTTTAACAAAAGCATGCAGTCGTAAAGAGGCATCTTTTCTCTTTAACTGGCTCCGCTATGTAAGCTGGTTAAACAGTCATTTATAACATTTATAAGAGGAACACTTCTCACCAAGACCAAAAGTTATTCAACAAAAAAATATAAAGAGACGTACATTTCCAGCCAGTTCAAAAAGGATTCATTAACTAATCAAATGCAGAAAATTGAAGAATTAAACTAATGAAAAATCATATGATTTTCCTCATTTGAAAACCATGTTACTCTCCTTTTCACACTGATAATCTCATAATCATATTAATGGCAAACAAGGATGTAGAACTGCATCAGCTATGTTATGATATTGCAGGGACAAAAAAAACAGTTAGCTTGCCCATTTATCACATAACTGAAACAGGACAGGTTAGCCATAAACAGACGTGTTTGTTCACTATTTCACATTGCCCAGACGGTAGGACGGAGGGGTAGTGAGATGACTTATATATACACAGACACACACACGCATACATAAACACGTCAATGATATGAATGAAACTGTAAAGTTTGCATTCATGCAAGTACCTGCATGCAATTGAAATTCAAGAAATGACCAAAATTTCCTCACAGTCAAACAAAAACAATCTAAAATGAAGATGGAAGAGTACGAAGTCCTAGCATGGTATAATCTGATGAAAATAATTCAGTGAACCCTGCGGATTAAATTATATATGGAGAGAGAGTGAAAATTGGATTTGCCTTTGAATCAATCTTATTCAGGAGGTTAAGTAACTTGGTCTTCAAACTCCTATAACTATTGGCTATTGTTGGGCAAAAACATGTTCGGTCCTGGGTTGCTGAGAACAGACCAAACTGGTTTGAATAGGGAATCTACTTAAGGAGTTCCACAAACAATCACTAATTATATCTTTTTAGGCAATCCCTTTTCCACACTTAATTGAGTTACACATTCTGTCATTCTCTGGACAAGTGAAAACAAGAATAAAAATTAACACTGCACTATTCATCCTTAAGGACATTCACTGCGTTTTGATTACAGACTGCATTGCAGTCTTTCACAGTTTCACTTTCGCTCTTTCATTGGACAAAATAAGGAAACCTTAAAGCGGAAAAAATCCACAAAAAAATATTAATGCATTCTTTTACAAATCCCTTTAACCAAATAGTACTCTGCTTGCAACAATGTCAAATTAAAGAATTTTAAAACTAAGAAAGCAAAGGAAGGCACAGTATTGCAATTACAAACAAGTCCAGTATATCAACGTTAACAAATGCACTCCCCAATTTACCTGCACAAACTCTACATAATTAGCTCTGAATAACATAAACAAATTTGACATTTTCAAAAAAGGAGGAAAAACACACACACACCCACCCACACACCCACCACAATACACGATAGTTTTACCTGATTGAATGCAAATAAATTAGAAACAAGCCGGATAAGGAAAAACTAAAAAACCTGAAATTTCAAAATTCGTTTGAGGGTCGGTTCTGAATTAAGCAAGAAAGAAAATAGACAGAGAATTCACCCAGGATCGAAGGGCACAGAAGAGTCCGGCGGCTATTTGGCTGGAAAATGAAGAAAAAGAGTAAAAGACGATGGCCTCTGGATTTGGGCCGCCTGGCTGTTCAGTTAAGCTTACAAATTTGCTTACATTGGTGAACAAATAATATTGGGCTCTCTTTGGTTTTGAACATATCAGGTTTTTTTACTGCCCTGGTTCAGATAAAATCGGATTTTGAGCAAATTTTACTCAAAATTTAATCAATTTTTTTTTAGCTGAATCATAGTATTGTTTATTGGGCCTTATATTGTTGTGTCACTTTTTTTCATAAAAAGAAATAACGATTGATATTGGGTAATTTGATTCGGGTTTTTCGAGTTTCATTTTAAATGTATTTTCATTATAATTGTGTGAACTAATTGATTCTACAAGAAAAAAATTAAATTGGATTAAAATTCATCGATTCAAAGCGATCTTTATTTCCCATGGAGTATATTTTCTTATTTCACTTTTATGTTACATATTTTAAACAACAAAACTCTTAACTATTTTGAAATTAAATTACAGTTTTTTAATAAGAGATTATAAAAAAAAAAATTACAATTTTATTAGGAGATTATATATATAACAATATTATTGGATGGTGAGTTTTGATTTTGGTGCATCTAGTTCCATTTGATTCCTCCGCTTTCTTTTATTTCAAAATAGTCATCAAACTTTATGTTTCATTCCAGATTAGTCCCTCATGTATTTAAATAAAAGGTGGTTGATCATATGTTGGCAATGGAGATCACATTGTCGTGTTAGGAAATTTCAACAGAATCGATTTCATTTCCCTTTCTTAAGAACCTCATTAACAAACTATAATAGTTTGAACTAATTGCATTAGAATCTTGTCTACTACAGGCGAACTATCTGCCGGCCGGAATTGCTCCCTATGTGTTTGATCTTTTGCTTGACTGAGTATCTTGATACCATTACTACTCCCCTTCAGCCTCTGAGTATCTGGGGACAATCCTTTTCCAGAACCAGTGTTTTTTCCACAAGAATATCATCTCTTCGATCGGCACACCCTTAGTCTCGGGAAGGAAGAGATAGACAAAGATTGTCATGATGGTAATCCAACCCGCAAAGAAGAGGAAAATCCCAAACTTGAATGCACATAAAAGGGAGAGGAAAGATTGTCCTATTATGAATGTGAAGAATAGATTTACTGCCACTGTAATGCTCTGTCCAGCAGATCGAGTTTCTAATGGGAATATCTCGCTCGGGACTGTCCAGCCAAGAGGTCCCCATGACCACCCGAAAGCTGCAACAAAGAGACAGATGATAACTACAACTAATATCGAGAAGCTCTTTGAAAGTCCCTCGTCACTGCTGAATTTGAGCCCCAGTATGATCGCTACTATCACCTGCATCACACCGTTAACAATTTAGGTAATCGAGGCACCATTTAATACTAATCATGCATGTTTCAGCTATTTATATATAATGCATCGTGTACATAGATTATACTGTTTCAGCTTGAATAGTCAGAAATTTCAGTCTTTCCAAATTCCATGAGGTGTATTACGATATTTTGTTGGTCAGAAGAAAAGATGGTTGTCTCTTACCTGACATACAATCATTTGTATTCCTCCGCTAATCAGTAAAGCTCTGCGGCCCCATCTATCGACAATTGCGATAGATATGAAAGTGGATGAAGCGAGTACTGCTCCAGTCATGGCTGAAGAATAGAGAGAAGCATTTCTGCCAAATCCCATACTCTGAAACAACACAGGGGCATAGAAAAGAATGGAATTTATGCCTGTGAGTATCTGAAAAGTTGGCATGAAGATTGCCATGATCAACTGGGGCCTGTTCCTCTTCTCAAGGATGTTTCTGAAAGGATGCTTAATGGAGTTTGCAAGATCACTCGCATCAATTATGTCTTGCAATTCTGCGTGGATATCTGAGGTTCCCCTTATTTTTTCGAGAACTTTTTGTCCCTTTTCTTTTAGTCCTCTTTCAATTAAGCTGTTAGGGGTTTCAGGAAGAAATATTCCGCCTATTGTCATCAAAATAGCTGGTGCTGCTGCAAGGCCTAGGGAAAGCCTCCACCCCCATGGCCGAAGCTTTTCCGTTCCATAATTTATCATGTTTGCGGCAAAGATCCCAAGTGTCGTTGCCAATTGAAACATCATATTAAGGCCTCCTCGTAGATGAGGTGGTGCCATTTCTGACAAATACAGTGGCACTGCCTTCAAGCACAAACAAGAAAAAGAGAGCAAGAAATTTTCGTTACTTCCATTTTAACATTTCTAACTTGGTAAGTTTTTATATACGGAGTTATGCTATATTTTGTGATCACGTAGCATTTGAACTCTTCTATGCCAAGCTAAGGCCTTTTTGGATAGGAATAAGCCATTTTAACAAAAAAAAATTGCCTACTTATTTACAGATACAATGTTGACAGTAGATGATTCAGTATAAAAACTAACTGTTTTGTAAACAGTCCACGACATTTTGTCAAGGAAGTGGACAAATAATTTTGGCAATATAGCACGATTGTTTTTGATACTGTAGAAACCCGGGCTGAATCAGTTCAATGGTGGAGATAGTTTACCTGGTTGCCAAATCCAATGCCTACACCAAGCATGATCCGACCTAAAATGAGCATCACCAGATTTACTGCCGAAGCATCTAAAGTTGCTCCTATAATAAAGCTTAATCCACCACAGATGATACTTCCTCGACGTCCATACTTCCGTGTGATAGGCGAGGCTACCAGAGATGATACCAAGCCAGAAAGATATAGAGAAGAGGTAAATGCTGCAAGGCCTTGGCTGTTGTATTTGCAGTAGTTGTTTTCATGCGCATGCCTTTTTTGTCTGTAAACTGTGGGGAAGAATTTTACGAGAAATCCATCCATTGAGGTGACTCCTCCTGTTAAGAATAATCACATACATATTCAGTTTCTCAGGCATTCACTGGCATATTAGTTCTTGTTCCCATACCCCTCGTTATATGCATTGTTTCTATAGTTACAAGCTTATATTTGACAATTATTCAAACCCACCAGTCTGAAACCTGTATCTGTACTTTCTCAGTTAAGATACAAATTACACACTGAATTCACACACACACACACACACACACACACAAAATATTAAACACATTTCCTAACTGAATCCCTTCTTTAACTTCGGGGTTCGGAGCCTGTTCGGTCACCATACCCTTTGTGGCCACCAATCAGGATTCAGGACTAACTGAGATGTTTGTTTTGCTGGAACTCAGTTGTTTCAAGATCTTGCTAGCAACATACATGAATATTAGATACATATAATTGTGCTTCTTTCTGATAAGGGGCACTCTTTGTGACAGGTAAGAAATAATTTGAAACAGAGATTTCATTGACGGATTAAAAAAGTTTGTACCTGAAATCCCAATATCGTAGCCGAAGAGTGATCCCCCTACAGCAGCAACTATACAGGCGATGACGACAAAACCAGTGACCCTTCCCTTATACTGCTCGGCTCTCTCTTTTGCCACCCCGCTTGGCGCAAAAGACCCTCCCGTCATGGCTAGATACCTTCCACCAGAATCTTGGCTGAGGTAACTGAATTCCAATTCTTTACCAAGGAAGATGAGTTGTCTATTTATCTGCACTCAACAACTTCGAAACTTTGGCCCAAATGCATCAGCTTTCATATACAACATACAACATAATTCTTATCTCTTTAATGTGTGGGACCATTATGGTAGTCCCTATTTCTATCTATTATTTTAGTATCAAATGATCAATATGCACCTCAGAAGAAAGACTGCAAAAGGTGGACTTCTAAGGTGTTGACAAATTTCCATTATTAATTGCTTAGTAGTAGTAGTAATAAATAATATCACCATCTAAAGAAATGAAATTATCGTGGATACAACACATTAAAAAAATTAGCCAAGTTTGCCCGATGATGATACTAACTTCGATTACTAGTAGACATGTCTTTTATCCTTATTCAATTTTGTCATGTTTAATGCACAGCATCTTGTAAACGCTCCCTCCATTTGGTGTCTCGTACACACATTGGCATATGAGTCAAAAGCATGGAATATGTGTGCGCAACAAACTTATATATTAGTTCTAAAACGCGGTAATCTTTTTCTGTATTGAGTAAAAATAGGAATCGTGCAACAATGTCTTTAATTTTTTTTTTGAAATAAAAAAATAACAATTCAACTATACGTGCACTTAACTCCCAACTATTGTTCGAATGAAGACCTTAGTGGTATAGTTATCGAGATTAATTTGAATTTTAGAAGTAAATATCATAAATGATGGCAGAGTTATAAATTTTTGAAGGTACAATTAGAAGTGTCACTGAAATCAAACTTTCCTAAAATATTATGAATCTTGCAATATGGGTCCATTGAGATATTATCACTCCACCTACTAAATTATTGTCACACTGCATGCTAATATTAATCTCTTCAATGTCTCAAGTTAAATTTTCACTTTATCATGCTTATATCGATAGTTGATAGAATCACAAAATAGGAATTGAGTAGGACAAAGAGCAGTTAGCGATCCCAAGTTGACTACACATGATTTAAAAGATATACCACCCACAGACGCTTGGGATTTCTAGGCAAAGTTCTTGCTTTAGTAAGTGATACCGAAATGCAATATTTGATTGCTTTCTCGGGAAAATTGTATATATACCATTTTCCTTTGTAAAGGTACAATTGAAGCTTGAGCAAAGGACTTGTCGAATGATCAAGACGGATATGTAACTATATGCCTAGCTTCCTTCCTTTGTAAAAGACTTGTTAACGTGGCCTATAATAAAATCATTTTTCTTATCTCTTCCTTCCGTGGTATTTAATGATGCGTTGTGATGAGCTCTTTAGGATACGATGAGCGTGATAATTTATTGTCTCTACGCTTTGCATTTCTTATTGCATTCTTTCTTTTCAACATTTATTTATGGGTAGATAGGTAATGATTGATCGGAAAACAGAACAAATATTGAACAAGAAATTCTTACTTTCTCCAAATTGCCATTACTTGTAAAATTGTATATAGATAATTGTTTTCTTCAATTTCCAAATGTTACAAGTATGTTAAGAAATGCCAGCAACTGATTTCAAGAGAGGAATTGGACTATAATCGTGCAATTACTTTTCCTGATCACTCAGT